ACACTTGAGGATAAAGTTTTGCTAGGGTGAGTGGGGGAGCTCTGGTAGCATAGTGCCTAAGGCATTTGACTGCTAACCAGAAGGCTGGCAGTTCAAACCCACCAGCCACTCCTCGGAAGGTAGGTTGGGCAATCCTACTTCCATCTGATACTGCCTCAGAAACCCAACGAGAGGTCTCTATGAGTCGGGCCAACTTGACGGCAAATAACAAAAACAACAACAGGGTGAGTGGGAAATTTTCAGTCTTTCAGCATATATCACAATATATCATAATTAGAAGGTCACATATATGATTTAAAAAAAAAAAAACTTAGTAAGATTTGAAGGAAAAGAACAAATTATTTATCAGTGATATCTTAAGTGTCAGATTTTCATGCAGTTTCTCTTAATAGCCACACCAAAGCTAAGAGGTCGTGAGTGAGCTATACAGACAATCCTATTCTACATCACAGGTTGGTCTGGTGATCATTCCTTGAGAGGCCCAGAAATGAATGTGTGGTATCATTACACAAGCAAATAGTCTTCTCTACAACCTAAGTCCAAGGACCATTTCTGTGATCATGTCTGTAGATAAACCCTTTGCCAGCGAGTAGATTTCAACTCAAAGTGACCCTATAGAACAGAGTAGAATTAACCTGTGAGGTTCTCAAGCTTGTAATCTTTACAAAGTCAACTGCCACATCTTTCTCCTGAGCAGCAGCTGGTGGATTCAAACAGCTGATCTTCCATTTAGCAGCTAAGCATATATCCACTGTGCTACCAGCTTTACTGTAAATCTTAGGGCCATGAATGAATTAGTGTCACAATGAAGAAAAATCTACAGTCCTAGTCCAGTGATTGAAAACTGGAAACATTTTAGCAGCTACCAATATAAATGAATCACTGAAAAGTGAGGAAAAACATCATACCAGCCATAGTTCCATCTTTTGAATGGCAGAGCCCTTGATGTGTGGTTTAATTACATTCCTGAAAGACAAACTCAGCTGTCAGGGATGGTATTAACAAAAGTAAAACCCAGTAAGCTTTGTATTGATTTTTCTTCTGTATCTGGTAGTGTAGTTGTTAAGGCATTTGGTTGCTAACCAAAAGGTCAGTGGTTCAAATTTACAAGCTGCTCCATGGCAGAAAGATGAGAAGTCTGCTTCTGTAAAGATTTACAGTCTTGGAAACTCAATGGGAGTTGCTGTAAGTCAGAGTTGACTCAGTGATAGTGAGTTTTGTTTTGTTTTTTTTTTATCTGGATTAGTATGACAAAACGAGACCCAAAATTGGAAAATTATAATAAGATTATAATGAATGGTCTCCAGGGAAGTTTTCCAGGTCAAAAAAGCAAGATGGAAAAAGGTTATGAAAAGGTAATGACTTCAAATACAAGTGGCAAATGACTTAATTCATAGTTTTCTAAGGATTCCATGACATTATTGGACAAAGTGAATGAACCTTACTGACTTTGAAGGCAAGTCACTTATATAAAAGTCAGACCCTTACTGATTTTGAAGGCAAGAGGACAATGGAGAATAAAATACAAAAGACTAACAAGTATTTATTAAAGATGCAGGGGGGGAGGCGGGGCAAGATGGCGGACTAGGCAGAAGGATTGCACAGACCCTCTTCAACAAAGAAAAGGGAAACCAATTAACACAGACACAGAAGATAAT